TTTTTTTTTCTTTTAATTATTATTTTATATATATAATTAGTAATAATATAAAAAATTAGGAGTGATAGAAATAGTCTACTTACAGATTTGAAAACAACACGAAAAGTTGATTTAGAAAAGTATATTTTTGCTTCTGATGAAAGTTCCTTGTAGTCCAGTGTATTTTTTTATAGTAACAAACAGTTTTTATTGAAAATTACTGTATGAAGCCCTTTAAATTTTTATACACGTAAAAGTAAAGCAAAATATAACTTCTTTATTATTTTTATAATTTCTCCGTTTAAATTACAATATTAAATATCAATTTCATACTAAATTTAATAATTATAATTAGTATATATTCATATATTATATTTTAAAATCAAAGAACTACTAATCATGATATAATTAAAGAAATAAGAGTTGATGTTGCTTTTGGAATAATCCACCAATTGCCTAATTAAAACAAAAAAAAAAAAANTCATGATATAATTAAAGAAATAAGAGTTGATGTTGCTTTTGGAATAATCCACCAATTGCCTAATTAAAACAAAAAAAAAAAAAGTTTGTTTGGAATTTTTTCTGTTAGTCGCCAAAATTACTCCTTCGTTGACTAGAATAAATCATTAAATAGAAAATTTGATGAGAATTAAAACAATGTTATTTTTAAGATTAATATGCAGTCAGAAAGTTTTATAATTATTATTTATTGTAAATTTATCAGAAAAACTCATTATTTTTTGCATTTTTATCGTAATAGAACACTTAAATAGAAATCATAGTAATCATTTCTAAGTAATTTTTGATATTTAAAAAGATTCTACTATTGAAATATCCAGAACTGAATTAATTTTAATGATTTACTTTAACTAAAAAAAATTATACTGATTTGGTCATTTTTGATAAAGTTATAACAGTTAACAAAGTTAACACACAACAGAAATTATAAAAATAATAAAGTAGTTGTATATTCCTTTACTTTTAACGTGTATAAAAATATAAAGAGATTGATGCAATACTTTTTAATAAAAACTTTTTGTTACTTATGAATAAATACACTAGACTACAAGGAACTTGCATCGGAAACAAAAATATATTTTCTAAATCAACTTTTTTCGATGTTCTAAATATGCAATTAGGCTTTTTCAATCTAAATTTTAATATTATTACTTATTATTAAAAAAT